GCAACGAAAAATATTTCAAGACACCCGCGCCCCTGCCTTCCTCTCCCTTCACCCTGATCTGTGTCCTTCCATCTTCACTTGCGCCTTCCTCTTCACTACCTCCTTCCAACGGGTGTTTCTCGTGGGTCGCGTTCTGCTGTTTCTTTTTTCCTTCGACTCTGCCCTTCGCTCAGCACCGCGCTCCCAGACATGGCCGACGAGCCAAGTTCACCCAAGGACGTGCCCCAGGTCATGGCCACCGAAGCTCCCAAGGCCGAGTCCTCGGCACCGCCTTCCGTCTCTAGTGGGGAGAACAACAATGAGAAGGCCGCAGCTCACACGGCCACCACCGTCGACCTCGACCGTGTTGGTGAGACGGATGGCTACGTGCTCGATGAAGCCCGCATTCGCGAAAAGCTGGGACTTGCGCCCGATGTTCCCCTCAAGAAATCGAGCGACGGCAAGGTCTTGATTCCCCAGCCCACCGCGGACCCTGAAGACCCGTTGAATTGGTCGAGCTGGAAAAAAGCAGCCATCTTGGTGGTGATTGCGGTCAACGCTGCAACTTCGGATTACTCTGCCGCCACTGGCGCAAGTGCTCTCATTCCTCAGGCGACGCAATGGCGCATAGATCCCAATGAAGTCAACCATGCCACAGCTGGGTATGTCGCGATGGCGCTGGTCAATACGTGGTTTGAGCTAACATGTCACAAGTAACACATTCATGCTGGGTGTCGGCGGTATTCTGACTGTCTGGCTCTCTGCCTGGATTGGTCGCCTTCCCGTCCTCTTCTGGTTTGGATGCCTGTCTGCCGGCACCGCTGCCTGGTCTGCCGCTGCCAAGTCCTTTGAATCATACATGGCGTCCCGTATCTTGAACGGCATGTTTGCTGTTGCAGGCGCAGGTGGTGGTCTGATGTGGATCAAGGACGTCTGGTTCTTCCACGAGCACGCCAGAAAGATCAATATCTGGAGTACTGCCATTATCTTGTCCCCCTTCCTGGGTCCGCAGTTCATGGCCGCCATCCTCAGTGTGAGCACATGGAGGACAGGAATGTGGTTAAACTTCGGCATCATCACATTGGGATTGGCTTTGACTGTCATTCTTGGGGACGAGACATTCTATCCGAGACATCTGATGCCGGACCGAGTCCCCAAGCGCAAGAACCGTCTTCTCCGAGTCGTCGGTGTTGAACAGTACAAGACCAAGTACACGACCAACACTTTCCTGGAAGCTGGAAGCCGATTGGGATACACGGTGCTCAAGCTGCCGGTGTTCCTGACTTGCCTCTTCTACTTCTTTGACTGTAAGTGGGCTTACCTCGAGTGCTGCAAGGCCCAGCTGACCTCTTCCAGTCCCATGGACGATTGGAAACAATACCACCATCTCAGTCTTCATCATTCCTGCGTATAACTTTGACTTCCGTAACCTCGCGGCCGTCTACACGGCTCCCGTCGTCGGCGCGATCCTGGGACTTGTCATTGGTCACTTCATGTTCGATTTCATTGCCAAACTGTGGGCGAAGCGCCACAACGGAATCATCGCACCCGAAAACAGACTGGTCATCTTGTGGCTCGTGCTGCCGTTCAAGCTCATCGGCTACAACCTGATCGGCACGACCTTGCATCATGCTCCCGCCTGGTCTTATTGGGTTCTGGTGGTGGGATGGGGAATGCACAACTTTGCCACCATTGTCACCACCTCGGCGGTGGGCGCGTACTTGCTGGATGCATACCCGGAGGCAGCTGGTGAATGTGCTGCCTTGCTCAACTTTGCCAGAACACTGGGTGGATTCATCATCGGGTACGTGTCAATACCTGCACTGTCTTTTTGCTTCTTCCACGGGCTAACATTCCTTGTCCATCCAGATATATCCAGATCAACTGGGCCACCAAAGCTGGTACACAGACAGAATATGGCATCCAGAGTGGTATCATGGGAGCCGCATTTTTCTTAGTCGTGTTCCTGCAATTCTTCGGAGCCAAATTGAGGCACGCACAAGGACCGTTGAACTTCAAGACTTACTAGGTCCGGGAGACGCGGAACTGGTTAGGAGTTGGTCGTGGGGATTCCGACTGGATATTATTGCGACCGGGATGTTGGAAAAGAACGGAAGAATAGCAGAGACGATACCTTTAGCTTTGTAGTAGTGTTTAGATGGGATTAGCGACAGATTTACTGAATGCATTCCAACCTCTGCTGGCATCTTTGTGAGGCATCGAAACAGGTGAATGAAGGGGCACCAAAGGGGAATAAATGCCTCGCAGCCACGCAGCCTCGCTTAATCAGCCGGCGATGCCGGATTGGCCCGTCGACGTCATCCTGATTTGCTGCCCGCAGCGTCGACTGTGATTGGCCAGGATGGAGCTTCGTGCTGCTCTTTGCATCAGAAGCAAAACCAAAAGCTCCTCCACCTGTTTGATAAGTTTTCTCTGCCTTTACTACTCTGCGCACCACGATAAGGACCACCCCCGAACCCAAACTCGATTGATGCTCCTCCGAAATGTCGCTGGCCAGGTCGTCTCGTAGCGCTCAGGTAAGAAAAGCTCACCCTCCCCCCGAAACTGCGTCGAGTACTGGAGATCTAATCGCACATGTTTTTCGCTTCTCTTCCGCAGGCGCTGCTCCGTGCTGCTCAGCGGGCAACCAGGCCACACGCAACTTCGCCCTTTCTCGCAAGATGTGAGCAGCTTCTCCACGCGTGCCGCACCTCAGATCGCAACTAATATACTCGTCTCCCCCCTTCTAGCCTACGCAACGGTCGAATCGGACATCTTCAAGCCTACAAAATATGGTGGGAAATACACGGTGACGTTGATTCCTGGTACGATATGGCCCTCGAGCTCTACAGCGTGAGTCGTGCTCACTCGTGGAACCCGGCAACAGGTGACGGTATCGGTGCCGAAGTCGCCGAAGCAGTCAAGACGATCTTCAAGGCCGACAATGTCCCCATTGAGTGGGAGCAGGTCGACGTGTCGGGCGTCGACTCGGGAGACAAACACTCGGAGGACCTGTTCAAGGAGTCGATAGCGTCGTTGAGGCGGAACAAGCTCGGGTTGAAAGGTATCCTGCACACGCCCATCGAGCGTTCGGGCCACCAGTCGTTCAACGTGGCGCTGCGGCAAGAACTCGACATCTACGCCTCGGTGGTTTTGGTCAAGAACATTCCTGGCTTGGAGACTCGGCACAAGAACGTCGATCTGTGCATCGTGCGTGAGAACACCGAGGGCGAGTACTCGGGGCTGGAACACCAATCGGTGCAAGGCGTGGTCGAGTCGTTGAAGATCATCACGCGGGCCAAGTCGGAGCGAATCGCCAAATTTGCCTTTTCGTTTGCCCTGGCCAACAACCGCAAGAAGGTGACTTGCATCCACAAGGCCAACATTATGAAACTGGCGGACGGTCTGTTCCGCAACACGGTCAAGAAGGTTGGGGAGGACTATCCCAGCCTGGAGGTGAATGACATGATTGTCGACAATGCGTCGATGCAGGCCGTGTCGCGCCCTCAGCAGTTTGATGTTATGGTCATGCCCAATCTGTACGGAGGTATTCTCACCAACATTGCTGCGGCGCTTGTCGGAGGGCCTGGTGTGGTTCCGGGCTGCAACATGGGTCGGGAAGTTGCCGTCTTCGAGCCAGGGTGCCGACACGTTGGTCTCGACATTCAGGGCAAGGACCAAGCCAACCCCACTGCTCTTCTTCTTTCGGGCACCATGCTCCTCAGACACCTGGGTCTTGACGATCACGCCAACCGCATCTCACGAGCAGTGTACGATGTGATTGCGGATGGGTAAGTTTCCTGCCATATGAATAAGGACTCGGGGCTAACTGGCCTCCAGCAAGGTGCGAACTCGAGACATGGGCGGCTCGGCTACGACGCATGAATTTGTCAGGACGATTCTGGACAAGATGGAGGCGGAGCTGTAAGAACTGTAAGCCAGGGAGGTGGTTCGAGCAGGAGGCATGAGACGCAGATGTCAATACAGAGAGTGCTTGGTTGGATGGTGACAGAAGCAATGCGACGTTGACTGGTTTTTTTTTTTTTTCTTGACATTGATAGCCCAGCATTGATGTTTAGACATGGATTCCTGATTTTGATGTTGATTTCGGGAGTCTGCAATGTGCAATATGTTATGTGCAATGTGCGATATGCAATATGCAATTCCTCAATGTGCGAATATACCGAGTAGTCTCTCCCCACAACACATACGACGGGTTACATGTGAAGAACGACACAAACGACACAATCGGATATCATGACCGACCGGACCGAGCAGTATACAAGCCCAACACGCACCATACAACATGCCCCATACCATGCCATACCATGCCCTGCCCAATGCTTCCTGTCTTGCCTGTAGATTGATGATACGAGGTACATGTAAAGTTAAGCTCGGTAAAGCAAAAAATACTTTTCACAAAAGGGACCATCCACTGATACCTTCTGTGCGCTAAGCCTCGGCTCAGCGACTCAACAACTCCTCGTGGCTTGAAACCCCACTCTCTCACTCTTTCGAGGGGGGAGAGCCGATGTCAGAAGGTCCCAGTCAACACTTTTCCACTTGATACCTGGTCTGGCACTGGCAACTGGCAACTCGCGAGACTGATTCAGATTGGTTGATCACTACCAGGGAGTGAAGGTGGGTGTGCTTTAGTCTGGGTTTTGGTATAATATATATAAGAACCTAAAGAACCCTGGGATATTCACGGCCGAGGTCATTGATTGTTACTACTACGACGACGACTACTACTACAACAACAACAAAAAGGTACGAGGTACTTTACTACGTGTATATTTATATATATGTATCATTTATTCTCGATTCATCTCACTTACTCACTCACTTACTCTTTCCCTAGTATCGACAATTCACTACTTGCACCGGTTCATATCCTAGGGAGTGTTACCTAGGTAAATAGTGTAATCTACCTCACCTCCTCTCTACTTGACCTATTCTCATCTGTTCCACCTACCGAACAACCACCACCAACCGCCTCCCCAAAAAGTCCAATTTCAACCATGTCGTCGTCGTCGTCGGTCCCCTCCCTCTCCACCCCGCTCACCAAACTCCTGGGCATCAAGTACCCGATCATGCTGGCGGGCATGGCGCGCACCTCGGGCGGTCCGCTCGCCGCGGCCGTGTCCAACGCCGGCGGCATCGGGACGATCGGTGGCCTGGGGTACACGCCGAAGCAGTTGCAGGAGGTATGTCTCCCGCTCTCTTTCTCTTGTCTTACCTCTGCCGAGTGGTTTTTATTTTTTTATTTTTTATTTTTTATTCTTTTTTTTGGTCGAGTTTGGGTTTTTTGGAGGAGGGATGGGAGGGTGAGTAAATTGGATTGGGTTGGGTTGATTGTGATATGTCACGCTATGGTGTTCCATACTGTGCTGTTACTATGCTATGCGGTGTGGAGGTGTGGTGGGAGTCGAGGCTCTAGAGTCTAGAGCGTGGAGCACCGGGGTAGGGGTATCAAGAATGAAAAGGAACGAAGAAGGGCTCTGCAGTCGTTGTATCAAGGAAGGACGGAGTCTGGTGGAAGAGGAAGAGAGCATGGAGGTTCGAGTACAGGGGGTCACCCCCAACCCTCTACTCCTCCTGGACCCAAGAAACCCATCCATCCGTCGTTCCTCAATTCCCCCCTTATCATTTGTGTGCTTCAATCCCCAACCCGACATCTCCCCCCCCCCCCCCCCCCCCCAAACTAACCACCCTCTGATAACGGCGTTCCAGATCATCGACGAACTCAAAGCCAACCTGACAGACCCGTCGCTCCCGTTCGGCGTGGACCTCGCCCTCCCGCAAGTCGGGGGCTCCGCGCGCAAGACCAACCACGACTACACGCACGGACAGCTGGACGAGCTGATCGAGGTGACGATCCGGAACGGGGCCAAGATCTTCGTGAGCGCCGTGGGCGTGCCGCCCGAGCGGACCATCAAGCGGCTCCACGAGGCGGGCGTGCTGGTCATGAACATGGTCGGGGCGCCCAAGCACGCCGAGAAGGCGCTGCGGGCGGGCGTCGACATCGTCTGCGCCCAGGGCTCCGAGGGCGGCGGCCACACGGGCGACATCGCAAACAGCATCCTCATCCCCGCCGTGTGCGATGTCGCGCGCAAGTACCGCTCGCCGCTGACGGGGGAGCCCGCGCTCGTCGTCGCCGCGGGGGGCATCTACGACGGCCGCAGCCTGGCTTCGTCGCTGATGCAGGGCGCCGTGGGCGTCTGGGTCGGTACCCGCTTCGTCGCTGCTGAAGAGAGCGGCGCGAGTCGTCTGCACAAGGAGGCCGTCGTCAGCGCGGGCTTCACCGACACGCTGCGCACGCTGGTCGTGTCGGGCCGGCCCCTCCGCGTCCGCCTCAACGACTACGTCGCCAAGTGGGAGGCCCAGCCCGAGCGCATCAAGGAACTCACCGACAAGGGCATCGTGCCCCTCGCCTACGACATGGAGCATGACAACGACGTCGACACCCCCTTCCTCATGGGCCAGGTCAGCGGCATCATCTCCGACATCAAGCCCGCCCGCCAGATCGTCGAGGAGATGGTCACCCAGGCCGTCGACATGCTCAAACTGGGCAGCACCTACATCGAGGCTGGCGGTCCCAGAAGTCGATTGTGATTGCCTGGTCACTTGCGAGCACGAGATGGGGGGAGAGAGAGAGAGAGAGAGAAAGAGAGGAGAGGGAGTAGGCATGGTTACAATTTGGGGAGTGGGTGGGTTGTCTTGCCGCGATTTGGGTTGGTGTACCGAGTACTCGTAGCGACAAAGAACGACGTCAAGAACAAATCTTGAGTCCATCTGCTGAACGAACCACTCACCAAGTTCGCTTCCCTCGGTAGGGCAATGGTCTGGACGGCAGAGATTGATGGGAGATTCTCACAAAAGCCTCACAATCTCTAACAGAGGTCAATCGTTCGTACAAAGGAAAACCGCTTCATGGGTATTAGCTACCAATCAGTACTCGTACACTCGCCGAATCCTTTACAATCCCTATGTACGCCGTCATGGTCATCTGTAATGCTGTCGAAATAACACCTTGCCGGGATCTTGTCGGTCTCGAACGCGCCTTTTGTAGCCCCATGCCCCGTAAACTATGCTTTGGATGCTGTATACAATTTGAACACAGCGATTGACTGTTCCTGGTAAAGATGGATCGTTTTCGTCGCTTTTCGTCTTGACACGTCGCCGTGGTGTCACAAAATATCTGGGTCTGGCCCAAGATAATCAACCAATCTCCGAAGTCGTGTTGTTGCCCTTGTACACGGTGCCATGGACCCTGACACTGATTCCAACAGCAATTCCCACCGCGGCTCCAATGATTAGGAACCCAATGAGGATCTTGAACAGCAGACGTTGCCGTGCAGACAACTGACTAAACCACACGCACCCTCTCTGCTTTGGCTTTGTCATGCACTGCTTCTCTCTCTTCCAGAACTTGAATCCAGCTTTAGCCGCCGATTTCTGAGCGTCCTTTTTCTCTTGAGTGATTGATGGCGAGAGATTGAATGTGCCGGACTCGAGATCTTGAACAGCCACTTCCACGGGACTGCCCAGCTTTTTCAGATCCACCGACGTTCGGGGGGAATCATGGTTGTAGAGGTAGAAGGGGGAAGTGATTTTTGCATTGCAGCAGGGGTCGAACTCTGATTTGGATCGACGGATTGAAGTCGGGGGTGGTTGTTCAGTGAGTTCGGTAGCTTCAACGGCGACGGCCATGGCTGGGGTGTGCTGCCGATGCAAACCTGAAGAGGTGCAGAGGCGGTAGAGATGTGGTCTTTGAAGCTAATGCTTCTGAAAGGAAAATATCTGTAATTGTGCTTAAGAGCGGTGGAGGGATTTCAAGAGCCCATTTTGAACCGAAAGTTGTCAAGTCGGTGAGGATGTGTCTCGGGTAACGAGGGCGAATATTGCTGTGCGTGAGTTGTGTGCGTGCGTGGACAAAAGGATCTTGACGGGGAGGGAATCTAGTTTTGGTCGTTTCGTGATTGAGGCAGGTTCAGGTGGCGGGCAGGTGGACAGTGGGCACCTGCAGCTCCTGTCAACTGTTAAAGTGGCTGCTCGAGCCAAGCACGCAAGGCAGGAGCGTTGGCTGGTGATGTCAAGATTGCACCGTTCAAGGAGGCGGATGGAGTACAAGAAACCAAGGCGATGTTCAACAGAGACTCCCTTTTCAGCTGAGTTTCACTTTTACTTTCCACGGTTTGCCATGGCCGCAGGGGGAACCTACGGGTCAATATATTGGATTGGGAATGCCATGACCCATGACTCTGGTCGTCAGATGAGATGTGTTTGCTTCGTCAGCCACCGATTGGAGCTGAATCCGAGGTGCAATCAAAAGTGACCAGGTCCTGTGTGCAGCTTTGACTGGCACAGACTGGCGTGACTGGACGCGACAAGGCGACAAAGGGGGAAAAGATGGGGAAAAGCTCATGCTGGAGATCAACAAACGAACGCCACCAGTTATTCCCCGTTGACGCTAGAGGCGCCTCTAATTTGCTAGTGCGCACTATTATGTCTCACACTAACCGTATCAAGGAATCCGCTGGGCTGGGATGACATGTTTTTGACCCAAATTTGCACCTTTTAGTGGAGTCTGTTCTGGCCGTCTCCTGCTTCGTGTTCCTCATTACCCAAAGCCTCGTAAAGGATGAAACAGGTTTGCAGGAGGATGGAACCACAGAAACTTGGATTTGTGAGACTTGCATACGACTACCGAGTTATCGCACAGTTGACCAACGAGGTTTCTTTCTATGTCGACAGAACTTCTATTCTCGAATGACCGCAATGGCATCAGCGAGGCTGTTATTTGGTGGCATCTGCCAAGGTTGATAACGGGAAGCTCCACCAAGCAACCTCGATTCTTTCCCCAATAATCCATCCTTCCTTGTTTTTTCTCGCCTCGATTTGGTCTCTAACACAGTCGCCAGTGAGCAAGTCGGTAGACGACACGATTGCAGAACATACTCGGCATAGCGGGAAGTGCGCAACGCGTAAGAACCTTGACATTTGCCGTTTTGAGAATTGTATTAAGAGAACATGGATATTATGTCGTTATTACAGGACTGACTGAATCGTGTTGGGTAGGTATGGTGGCTATTAGGTGCCGTGGTCTAGGCACTCGGTACCGAGTACTGGTAGGCGAAAATCGCCAAAGCTAGCTTTGTGAGCGGCACGTTCCGCAAAGGCGTCTCTTGGAGGATACTCTTTTGCGAGAAAAAGAGCGCCTTGCTTGTACCGAGTACATGGCCTCGGATGCGTTTGATCAAGCCAAAGGCGACTCGCGATACTATTGGTGATCAGCGTTTTCTTCTGGTGCTTAAGTTGTGCCAACTGTCGCTGCAGCCTGTTGTCCGTACGGAGTACGGAGTACCGAGTACTGTAGGATGGTGGGTCCATCCACTATCCTCCCCCTTCCCATTCCCCAGCCTCAGCCTTGTCTGTGACTCATTCATCATGTACGAAGTACATCCTTGTATGTTCAACGGAAAGAAGAGATGTGACCCTTCACCGCCGTATGCCAGAGGTGAAAGATATCTCTCTTGTCAATACCAGATATGTGAGATTCACCCCACGGCCATTCTACAAATGTCTAGAACAATCACCCTTTTGAGGCGAGCATGCTTGCTTTAGGAGGGATGTCTCCGTTTTTTTGTTTTTTTTTTTTCCTTTTGAGAGGCGGGAAAGGGTCAAAGGGACCACGAGAGGGTAGGCAACACCGCCTTAAAACCCCGGTCTGTCGCTTCTTCTTGCCGTATGGGACCCGTCCGCCTAGGACAGCACAGCACAGCACACAGACGCCGAGCGGAAAGACTTTAAATCCGCTGCGGGAATTGCCATGATAGGGTTGGATCGTAGTAACGAAGTATGTGCATGGCTGGACATGGTAAAGGCGAGGTAAGGATGCAAGTACCTCGTCCGTAGTCGTAGTACCGAATACGAGGTTCTGCGGGGCAAGTCATTGGGTGAATATTAATGGTGTGGGCGGTTTTGAGGTTGTCAAGGAGGTCGAGCCAGAACTCTCGACGAATAATAAACAGGTGCTCAACAAGTATAGGTTGGTCTGGCTCGCTTCGTGAAGGTACATATACCTATGCATCCTTCCTCTCCGGGCGCGACTAGCGGGCCGCGGATTGAGATCCGGCCCTCGCCTCATTGCGGTGAACGGATTGCTGCAGGGTTTATGTGGCATGGCTGGCCGCCACGGCGTCGCCAATGTGATCTAGTTCGCAGCGCGGAACTGGTCGTCACGTTGGCATGCCATGGCTAGATGCATTCATCCCCAGGGTTATCACCTTGTCACTGCACTTGCAGGGTTTCTTGTCTGGTGGCTAATAGTCCTTTGTTCCTCCGTGGAGGAGGGGGAGAGGGAAAACAAAGAGAGAGGCATATTAGCGGTTCCATTTTCTTCGAGCTCTCCTGTGCCCCAAGCAAGAGGGAATCTGTGGTGTAGACATGAGGCTGGCTGGCTGGTTGGTTGGCTGGTGGCTGGCCTGGATGTATATGGCTGATGGCTCTGGCACCTTTCTTTCCACCCGCCTGATTTTACCCAGAGTTGTTTCTCTCTTTCTGTCCTTTGATCTGGAATCGATGCTTCTTTCCCCCCAGCTCGCATGTGGAGTGAAATCCCATATCACTGGGCACATCGTACACGATTCGCCCTCTCGTGACGTGAGAAACTCGCCCCCCCCCCCCTTTCCTCGGAGTTCCTCGCAAGTCCTTCGCATGTGTGCATTGGGGCTGAAGTGGTGTAGCAGATCTCCTCCAAGAGTAAACATTTGAGGCCGTTTCCGTGTCAGAATGAATAGCCATCCGTGCCCCATTTCCCTGCTTCAACATGGGAGGGACGACACCGTGTACGATGTGCTTACCCTCAGCGAAGACAGTTCAGACGATGAATCGCCCGACCTCGACCAGAACTTTTTCAATGACGACGAAGAGCATCTGAGTAAGGGCGATGTGGCTACGGGACTGACCACGTGGTATGTCCAGTCGTGGGAAGGCCGGGAGGCGTTCCGAGAACTCTATCAGAACTGGTAACTGCTCCATAATACTTCTGGTTCTGTTTTGCGCCTATGTTAATGTCACACCCAGGAAGGACGCCATAATATCATCGTTCCATCTCGACCCAAGAGCCTTTCGACCAGTCTTCAAAGAAACGCGTGCGCAGATCCAAATCACGGTCCACAGCAGCGTGACACCAGCAAATCGACCAACCGGCGAACTTCTGGGATACATTCGTTTCATCCGCAGGGCTGGGACGGTGGAGTTGGCCAACTTTCAGGCAGAGCTTCGACGCAGCAATCTAGGGCTGGGCAACTCGACCAAAGTCGGCAACGATGAGCTTGCAGGGTGTCACGGGGAGGGCTTCAAGCTGGCGGCCCTGGTTCTGCGCCGCCTGGGCCACTCGGTCAAATTTGCAGCCAGCGAGTTCTATTGGAACTTTGGACTGCGCGGACTGTACCGTACAAATCTCTATTGCCACTTGTCGCCAGCCAAACCGGAAAAGGTTGAGAAAATGAAGGCGAAATACGCACTTGACCGTACCAAACCGAAATTCAAGAGGACCCTCAAATCACATATCTGGGAAGACGTGTCGGTCAAAATCGGCAAGGCCAAGGGGGATTATGGGCTCGAGGTCTCTGAAGACGAGTTTCGTTCGTGGCTGACGGTTTCGGTCGATCTCGATTCGCCGTCCTCCGACAATGTCGTCCAAACCCTCTCAGGCGATCTGATCCTTGACACTCGATTCGCAGGGAGGATCTATCTCAAGGGGTTGCGGATTGAAGGACATAGCACTGGTTATATGTTCGGGTACAACTTTGCCTGTGGCTCTATTGGCCGCGATCGAACTCACCTGCGACACCAGTTGGAAGAGACCGAAATCCTCGCCAATATTTGGGACCAGGCCATTCAAACTCAGAGGCCTGATTTGATCGACGCCTACATCAAACTGCTGCGTGATAAGGAAGATTGCCCCGACGTTGCTGTGACTAGTGACAAGTTATCACAGGAATCCGTGCGCCTGATTTGGGAGCGGCTGAAAACCAATGATCCTGACGCCTTCTTTTACTGCGAACGTGACCCTTCTCAACCCATCGCCGTCGATCAGGTTGATTTGATCCCAGCCGAGCTTCACAGAAGACCCGTTGCAGTCTCGCGTGCGGTGTGGCGCCTATTGAGCAAGTTCTCGCTTGTTCGGACTCCTCAGGAAGAACGCACCCGGTTATTCATGCACTCGGAACCAATAGACGCCGACAGGACACCTTTCAGTACCAATGTCCTCCGTGCTCTCCTAGCTTCGTTGGCTTTGCATCCAAAACTGCGCGACTTGCGCTTTAAGTTCGTGCAAGGTGGAGGCACGGATCTCGACCTGGCATACAGCAAGGATGTGAAACGAATCCAGATCCACGGCAAGTGGTTAAGTTTCCAGAAGGTCCACGAACATGGCCTGTGTGAGGTTTTGCGGTTGACAGCGCCTGGGTACATTCGCGGAGAGGCCTTTTTCTGTGACCATGTGGTGGAAGACTTGTTTGACGCTCTCCTCTCCAAGTCTGGGGACGATCTAGGTATTTCGAGCCCCAGCTTGCGTCGTCGATTGCGACGCAGGATGCGTGATCAGCTCGCGCTCATGCCTCGACTGGTCCGTGTTGCACGTACCGATGCAGTCAGAGAACTCGAGGTTCGCTGGATTGGCAACGAAGGCGGACTTGTGTCGGCCATCTGCAACAAAAATATCTGCTATCACGTCACTCTGCACCGGGTGAGCACGTGCGAAGTGAAACGAAACGATGTAGTTCATGTCGATCGACGCGGTGCGTATTGGTATATCTTGCTTTGGATCCCCTGGCCCGATACTTATGTGTGAATAGACAGGCGTACGTCCAACGGTCGCCTCTCGCGGTCGAAGCAGCCCTTGTGCGCAGAATCCACCATGGACTGCCGCTGTGCCTTTCAAATTGTCCCTAGGACCGACTCGAGAGCAATTTTCACCGGGTTGGACCCGCATGAATTCTATTTCCCAATGGTCGCGCGAGTGGAAAACGGTTCCTTTATGGCTGCCCCGCCAGCACCCGTGGCACCACGCGGGTTATTATTGTCTCCAGTTGACACAGAAATGGACATCAGTGAAGTCAACGGTAACGAAGAGGTCGTAGAGGGTCAGGACATGTGCGTGTCCAAACCGGAGCCTGATGGAACCAATGGAGATGCCGCAGATAATAGTCCTGAAGTTGCCGACAACGGATCTGGGGCAGCAAACCAGCAGATGAGAAGGGCCATCCGCCGCGAAGGAGTCGAGGTTTCTTTCGAGAAGGTGGATGATCAGCCTGGGTTTGAAAAAGACGACAGTGAATGGCGGCGGTGGCATGCTGAGGAGTTGCCAGGAGCATTTGCTAAATTGCTGGCACGTCGGGAAAAACATCATACCGTACGTTGGACTTTCTGCAAGCGCAGGCTGAATAACCGACTGATATTGACTGGTGACAGCCGACGTTTCACCCCGTGGCCAGCCTTGAGTGCGCACACCTGGACTTCCATTTTGTGAAAGATGAGTATGCACTCGTCCGCCTCGGCAGTGACAGTTCCTCGGAGAATGTCATCTTCATCCACGATATCTCCTATTGTGGGGGGGAAGATGAGGCTTCCACGGCATATTTATTGGTCACCAAGTATTCAAGACTCTGGTCATGTTTTCCTGATTTCAAGCCCCTCGGGATTGACAACAACGATATGGTCGCCAATCAACTAGAACTGTTGCTTCATTTCGAAGACTTCGACAAAATGGGTTTGCGAGATGACGCTGAAGTCATTCAGCTGGGCGATATTATCTCTGCGGCGGATCTGATGGCTGGCTCCAATACTGTCGTCACCGGTGTCGACCATGTCCTTCAACCACCTCCAGGTAAGCAGGGGATACTCCAGTCATGACGCCAATAATGAGCTGACAGCACGAAACCTTCAAGCCTCGGAGGATGAGACCATGTTCTGTCGTTTTGCAATACGAGGGGCGGCATCGGATGAGCAAGTTGCTTGCTGGACACCAATAGCTTCTCATCTCCTTCAACGCCGTGACCGGTGGCCGGCACCACAGTTCGACACCACTTCCAGGCCATCTGTTGTGGACTTCACGCCCGGCGTACTTGGGCCTGCGGAAGGATTTTCGCAAGCTGGCTTCGAGATTCGAGCTGCTCTTGGTTTTGATCAAGAGCGCCATTTGTCTTGGAAGGTATGGGTGATGCATCGCTGAGACCCTTGAAAGGCCCCTTGTTGACCGATACAGATCCGACACGCGCAGAGTCAAGTGTATGATGGCCCACCGAGGAAAGTCCTCGACGACATCTGTTCCGAGCAGCTCCAACCCCTGTCGACGCCAAATCCGGCACCACCAAACATTGCGCTGGTCGCAGGGGCAAACGCTCCTTTTCGCCTGAATGAAGCGAATCGAAACATGTCATCAGCAGAGAATTTTGTCTCCCAGCTCGACCTTGTCAATATGGCTCTCGAGGGCCCTAGCAAGCCTGACTTTTTGGTAGTACTGAGCTCGCCGGCCGTGCTCCACGCAGCGGTAGTGCCACGGTTTTTGGCAACCATAGTCAATTTTCTCAAGCATAGACGGTCCGTCCACATGAGGCTCTGCCGCCTCAAAGAGCATGGGCTTCCGCAAGAAAGGAACATGCTGCTCTTGGTTGCTTCTCCATTTTGCGCGCCGCTCCCTTGGTATCTGCACTGGCCAGCCTCTTCCAGCGGACCAGAAACCATCACGCTCCGTGACCTGATTGGCGACCTCGACTTTGACAATTCTCGCACTGGGGCGGGACCAGATCGAGCATTTGTGTGCTCTCCTCCTCTCGAAGGCATGCAAGAAGGGCAAGGCCGACGGGCATGTCCAAGTCATATTTACAATCACCAAACGGGGCAGCCGTTGCCGAATTGGAAGGTTCCTCTGCAGTGGGATTCTGACGGACTTCTAGGACTTTCCTGTAATCCCTTACCTTGGCAGCATCCCAGTAGGTGATCTCAGAAGATAGCTCCAGATTGTTACCGATTGTATAAGCTGACGATGTATCTCACAGGACGGCAAGACCTTCTCACTGTACGGGAGATGGCTCGGCTCCAAGGTTTCTCCGATGATTTTGTTTTTTATCAATCCACAGCTGTGCAATATCAAGATGTATGGACCGCTATACCGCCGGTTATTAGCCAGCTTGTGGCAAAGACCATCCTGCACGTAATCCAGGGAGCGCTCAGGGCTAAAGTTGGCGGCCGTTTGGACGGTCAACGAGCTGGGAAAAGGCCCAGACAAGACTGTGGAGATTGAATGCCTGATGTCAACTCAGGCGTTGTATCAGAATCGGAGATATCTGAAGGGGGTGTTGTAGAAATGATGCGGAGCCCGACAAGTGGACATAGGTGTCGCCGATTAACAGGAGTCATCTGGTCGCGACGTAATGCATATTTTTCTCATGCACTGATCCCCTTGCCCCACGGGTGCTGCTGTGTACAGTGAGACACTGGAAATAGTGAAGGGCGTGTCGACAGATGTCACTGATGCAATCCGGGAGTTCATCGCCCATACTCGTGCCGGCTGGTGTAGAGAGGAATTGACCAATGCAGCAAAGATACCGTCCTTGTTCGATCATGCCATTACGAGTGACACTTGGATGGATGTTGTGTCGGTGGCCAAAGCCGTGTCATCTGAGTGGAAGCGTGTCTCTCAGTATCAACATCCCAATCATCGAGTCAATGCCTGCAGGTGCCAAGCTTGAGGGCCGCCTGCGCCGCCTGCGCCGCCTGCGTCCCATTAACAAAGTGTCTTTGTCAGCAGTAGGAGGACAAGGCTGTTAGGTGGCTGTCACTCTATTATCTATTGTTCGTACATTACCGAGTACTTGATGTCCTGTATTTTTATTACGCCCCGCTCTGTTTGCAAAGTTGACCCCGAACAAGCCGTCCGAGGCAGACGGCAAGCCAGTTGGGTAGGTAGACAGCTCAAAGTCCATCCTGCTCATGACCAGGCTAGGTGTTGAATCCCTCGGCAATGCTCGGGTATCTGTCTGGTCAAAAATGTAACGAGTGTGTACTTCGTCGGACAAGTACACTACTGTTGAAAGATGAAGTGGAATTCATTCCTCTGAATGCCGGATTCAAAGTTTGTGATTAAACTAGCTTGCTTTTATTGAAAAAGAAAAAAAACAGACAATGGCTGAGAGAGCGCCCAATCTATCGAGGTATCAAGCGACGTATGTACCGTAAAATCATCCAGTGTTAACCCCGATGCTATGACTCTCTGAAGAAATCTTCCCGCACGACATGGCTTTTGTCGCACATGCTCCGGAAAATGCCACCGGCCTCAAAAAGATTGATAGGAGTGTCCAATTCCGCAATGCGTCCTTGGTCCATCACGCAAATGCGGTCGTAGTTGATAATAGTCTTCAGTCGGTGAGCAATGCACAACACCGTCTTTCCGGCGAACCCAGTCCGCATGGTCCGCTGAATCTTCTCGTCAGTTTCAAAGTCGACCGATGAAGTCGCTTCGTCACAGACGATGATCTGTGAATTGCGGACTAGGGCTCGAGCTAATGCCATCAATTGCCGCTGGCCTAGTGAGTAGTTCAACCCTTCTTCGTCCACAGGACTGTCGAGATGTAACCGACTAGCTCCAGTAGGGGCGTTCACGTTCGACGTCGATGTGGCTGCAGTTCGTGCAGTGTCGGGGCGATCAATCTTCTCCGATGTCGCCATCTCCTCTCCCACGAGATCAGCCTTTCGTAGCGCAGCCCAGAGTTCCAAGTCTGAGTGTTCATTGAACGGATCCAGGTTTGAGCGGATAGTGCCTCGGAACAGGGTTGGATCCTGTGGGATGATGGCGAGACGTGACCGCAAATCGTAAAGGCCTACAGTCGAAATGTCAATGTCGTCAATTTTGATCTGTCCCGACGTGAGTTCTGTCAACCGGAAAAGCGCCGCCATGATGGACGATTTGCCAGCTCCGGTACGACCGACGATGCCGATTCTCTCTCCGCCTCGGATGTGGAAATCCAAGCCATGCAGAACGAGCGGCAGCCCCGCTCGATACCTCATCTCGACTTTGTTGAATGTGATTGCTCCCGTTTGAGGCCAGTTGTCTGGCACTTCCGCGCCTTTCAGTGGTGCTTCCTCCTCCAACTGAGTGCCGTAGAAGTGCAGGCGTTCCGTGGCGTTCATGTTGTTTTCCACTTCTGCTAATTGCCGCACAGTAAACTGGATCATTTGTACAATAGCCAAAACATAGGACAAAACCAAACCCGCTATGCTGGGATTCACATTGAAACGATCCGTTACCACCAAAATGCCAGTGACAAAGACAAGCATATTTCCAATCGCATCGAGTCGCGTAGATAGCCACCGTTGGTTTGCGAACGTCAGATAGTATGCCGAGTTCATCTGATCGATGGCATCCCGCAATCGTGTCGCGAAAAAGCTTTGTAGCCCATATGCCCGAATAGATGCCACTCCTGAGATAGACTCGGAAAATCGTGCAAAGACTGTCGACCGCAAAACAGCTTCGTGCCGTTTGATTTCCCGTGCTGATGCTCTGTAATAACTTGACGCAAACAGGAACAAGACAAATAGAGGCCCTAAGGCCACAGCAAAATAGTGAAAGTATGCGATGATGAGGGCAAAGACCGAGGTGATCATGGCCAGGGTAAGAAAGTACATCCTCATGGCGTCGGTCAAACTGTTGTCCATCGAGTCTACATCCTTGGAGAACCGGTTGGTGATGCGGCCGAGAGGAGTAGTGTCGAAGAAGGACATGGGTGCGCGTAGAACTCGAGTCATGGCCTTTTGCAGCATAACCCTGCTGGCGTTGGTGCCGCTTGTGGAGAGAAGAGTCGAGAACGCGAACATGAGCACCGCTTGGGACAGTCCTAGACATGCGTATGCGGCAATGTAGACGCCTTCGGAAAATCCAAACTTGTCACTCGTCCACCAACTGAGCCATAGGCTGGTCACTATGTTGGCTCCTTGGGATAAGACGAGGGAGATGAATATGAGTGGCCAGAGGATTGGAGACCCTGATGCACGGATGTATGCTCCCCAGACAGACCAGCTCACCGATTTGACAGCACGCTCTTCTTGCTGCATCAGACCTGTGGGCTTGGTCTTCTTGGTCTTCTTTCCAGGCTTCTCCTCATTCGCATCTTCATCCTTTGCTTTCGCCATTGCACTTTCGTCCTCTTGAGCAGTCGTGGCCATCAATTTTTGAAAATCCACACTCGTGTTCATCAAGTTGTCAAAGGTATCGATGGCCTGAATATGACCGTCCTCCATCCAGATGATTCGGTCACACCGGGAAAGAACATGGAGTTGATGGGTCGCTAGGATTCTACATTTATCCTTCATCAAACCGCAGATTGCCTTGTCCATGATATGACGACCAACATGGGCATCCACAGCAGAGAGCGGATCATCCATCAAGATGATGTCTGCATCAAAATAAATCGCCCGCGCAATGTTCAACCTTTGTTTCTGACCGCCCGAGAGAGTGATGCCTCGCTCGCCAATCTCGGTCTGGTCTCCTGCCGGGAGGATTTCCAAGTCGGGTTTCAAGGCGCACGCATCGATAACGTCCCTGTACCATTTGGATTTGTACGGCTTCCCGAACAGTATGTTGTCCTTCAAAGTGGCATTCTGGATCCAAGCATATTGTGGACAAAACGCTCGAGAGGATGCCATCTTGACCTTGCCATCTGTTTTGCGCATGTCCCCCGCCAGAGCGGCCAGAAGTGAAGTCTTACCCGAGCCGACCGTGCCAATGACGGCGATCAATTCATTTCGGCCCACCGTGAAGTCCATGTCGTGTAGCTTGAAGGGTTCCACCTCCGTAGTCTCACTTGCGATGTCATCGTTCGAAGCCCCAGGAGATTTCTTGTTCTTCTTCGCTGCTTTTTCAGCCTTCTTCTGAGCCTTCTTCCTGTCCTTCTCGGCCTTCTTCGCAGCCATAAGCTCGCCTTTCGTCTGGAATGTGGCTGCCCTCTCCATATCTTGGTTAGCGGTCCTTTCCCAGGTGAAGGAGGCATGCTGCACTTCGACTGCAGGCTCCATTTCTTCATCCCACACAATCTCGTCTTCCTGCTCTTCAGACAATAGAAACTCCTGAATACGCTGAACCGCCGTCTGGGCATCGGTTACTTGTCCAAGAACCAAAGGAAGAAGATTCAAGGGCATCCGTAACGAATTGAAGAGGGCCAAAGACGAAAATATGCGTGCCGGAGCAAGGCTGTGGTCGGACAATGAGTATGTGATGAAAGCCAGCATGGCCGCGAACACTGGCATCGACATGGCGACCGCGTTGATGGCATTTCGGATGGAGAGCAAGATCTGGACAGCCCTGATCTCCCTCTTTCGAAGCTCCTTCAATCGGTCCAGGAAGCTCGTCTCCCATCCGAAAAACTTCACAAATCGCACAGAGCCGAGAATTTCCTGCGTCAGACCCACACGCTGATCCGTAACTTTGTTGATCTTCTTCCTCCTGGCTAAGAGCGACTTGATGGCCTTGGTCAGGACGGGAAGCATGATGACCAGAAGGGCATAGCCTGACAAAGCACTATATCCAATGTTGATACACAGCACAATCAAGACGACAATGATTTGAATGGGCGACGTCCACAGGATATGGAATAGGCCGGAGGCTTGGTCAATACGATAAGTGTCGACGCTCATCAAATTAACAATTCTGCCATTGTTCCAGCCGACCCCGTCTCCGGAAATCCCAGCGGCTTTGTCAGGTGTAACTTTCGGGCCACCTTTGGGAGTGAGTCGCTTTGATAGGACGCGAGCAAGAGTCGACCTAGCTTCGTGCTTCTCATCTTCGGTCTGTTCTACCGTCTCCGGTACCCCATCGGCCTTGATCGCCTTTCCGCCAGCCTTTGCCCTGCCGGAAATTACCAGAGATTTCTCAAAAATGGCGTTGATCAGCACTGCTCTGCACTCTCCTCCAACCATCATGCCACGGTAGATGAAATGATTAGTCGCCATGGACTGGCATATTTGCATAAATGTGATGCCAATGACCAGGCCGATGCCATGACCAATGCTGGGAGATTTGCCGCCGAATTTATCTGCGACCCAGGCATCTGTGGCAAACTGGATCAGGTAGCGAGTGGTGAAGGGGGAAAACACTTGGAACAGGGCAGAAAATAGAGCACACATGGCGCCAAGTAGAAATTCGCCTCGGAAAGTGTCGAAAAGGGCATACATGAGAGGGTTACGTTCCCCTCGTGCAACACGACGTTTGAAAGAGGCCGACAGTTTGTCTCTCATGGTGGTGGCGCTCCGGTCAGGATTGACGAGCCAGATGTCGTTCAGCTCAATCGGCCGCTTGTAGCCCGTGATCATGAGAGGATTCATCCACTGGAAGAGGAGTAGGCTGAGGAAGCTCGCGTTGTATTCTCGACACACTGTCCTTTCCTCCGGTACAGGCGGAGGGTTCCGACGGAGCGGATTTATTCTGTGACGCCATGGTAGCTTTTCAGGTTCGGTCTGATATGCAAAGGCAGCAGAACTGGCTTCGGTCGCTTCGGTCACTGTCGACTCGACCTTTTCCAACCGTGTACTGTCTTGACTCCTGCCTCGTCCTCCTCTTCTCGTGTCTCTCGGGACTTCCAGGTATTGTGCTCGCTCATCTCTCTTTTCCAGATCCTGCTCCTCGACGTCATTCCGGGAAATGGCACGCTCAACTTCTCTCTCGTCGCCGTCAGTGTGCGCCATAGCAGTTGGGTCCGGCGTAGGGAACGGTCAACAACGATTCAAGGTTGATGGAATCTGTCGAACAGTCCATGACGAAAAGACCGTCCAGGTGGGGAGGGTCAGAGAATATGTAGTATCAATTCCGAAGAATCGGTGACGGGAGGAACGAAGGCCGGGAAGTGATGACTAGGAGGGGAACCAGGATCAGGCGCAAAACATCCTCGGTGCTGGCGTAATGGAAGGCAAAGCGGCTACAAGCGAGAGGAAATGAGTGTTGACTGGGGCGGAGACATTCCACGGTCCTAGGGCTAATCGGAGGTAGAGGGACTTGACCGGGCAGGCCTCTCGTGATGCAGAAGGGTGGACACGAGAACCGGTAAGTCGAGCCATGTCGATTGGACGGCTTTTGGCTCGCAGGCTTTCGGCCTGGATGCATGGGTTGTTGAAAATCTGAACTTCGCCCTATTGGCGTAAATGATGCGAAGCTTGTATTTGGCCGTTTGCCCCAACAGGGCCAAGTGGGACGATAATGGCGATGCTGGCGAAGAGCTTAGCAATCCAAAAGCCCTGGAGCGGCCAATCTGAGTTCTCCGCAAAATTTATTTGAGCAAATGAATCATGGCTTGCCTCTACTGATTGCAATATTGATTGTTCCCGCTGTTTATGGGATGTGGGGAGGGGTTGGAAGGGATCGAAAAGGTGGATGGCTTGTTTTTCGCCTCCGCAGTCGCAGGCATCCAAAGTGAACACCATCATGGAGTCATGGCAGGCCGTCTATTCTTCGTCCTTGTGTGATCTCGCCATCCAGACCCAACAGTTCTTGGCTGCCTGAACGCACCCTCCCCTCGGCTCGAGCCCTCAAAGCTCGCTCTGAGCTCCCTACGTTTCCCTACGCTGAGTTCTGCGCAACTGCTCAACACCATTCTTGCGTTTCACGAGAGACAGCTTTTCACTCACCGAATGATCCCTTCTATTGTGCTACAAGCGGTATTACAGCGGCAAGGACAAATCACAATGAACCCCCGGACATTATGCATGACTGCCTGAATCCCGGCCGCTAACCCCACCACCGTGAAATCGCAAAGAAGGGGATCTTTTTGCCCCGGCAATTGATTCTTTGAACCTCGCTACATTTACCAAGCCGGGTAAGACGTGCCGGTAGAAACCAAAAATCTCGGGCCCGAGATTTTTTCTAAACTTTCCGATCGGACGTGGAGGCAACAATTGCGCGATCCGCTGCCCAACTGAGAATGGATAGCAGACAACCAACTCACCATTCGATCGAGTTGTCTGCGTCCCGCTATGAACTTGAGGTGGAAACAAGGCGCTATTGTAGCGTAGACTTGAGCACGGCTTGAAGGAAAGAGGAGGCGAGTCGGGCATTGCGAGAAGTCTGCTTACAGATGCTGTTGTATCGGCCCAGAGAGCAGGGTCGGTCCAGCTGGCGCACGCCCCCGGCTGCATACAACGTACTGTACCCATGATTAGCTCGCTGGGTCTATAGGAACGGAGTATCGAGTAGGTAAGGTTCCAGCCTTAGAGCCCACCTGGTCTTACCAACACGTTCTCAATACTTGTACATGCTTGACAGTGGCTGTAGCTTACCCGTCAACGAATTATTCAGCACCTCTCCCTCTGCCCCGACCCCGTCTGGACAACCTCCAGAACCGGAGTATCGGGCTGACATTCGGGACAGGAGCCTGGTACGAAGAACTTGAGATGCTAAACCAGATGCATTATTCTTTCTATAATCACTTTATGCAGCAGGCGTAGCATTTCATTTTATGGCCGGCCTTATTGTCATTACCATCGAGTGATTGACTGGCTAGGGGGTATAGGGGACAGTCCTTGCCTCGGTCGGCAGCTTCTTCAGCCACTGGAGCCCTATACTGAAAGCACACTTTTAAACAGGCGGAGTCGCCTTCAAGCTCGTCGAGGACATGTCTTTTGATGCCTCGCCTGCAAAATACAATGCACAAACCCTCCTAAAAGTTTGTACTTGCAGCGACTCCCCTAAGAAGGTCTGTGGTCCTGCGCAGTTCTGTGACCTTCTTGTCAACCCCTTTCCAGGAATCCGGGCCGATGATCACTCTCAACAAATTTTCTGTCTTGATAAGCCCTCCAGCTTCGCCTTCTCCTGTTGCAGCTTCAAACATCACCTGAGCAGCCTTGCCCGGGTCTCCCATCGCTATCTTGGGCAAATTTGAAATGAGTTGAAGCCTTTGGTTCACCGGATGGTCGCCGCTATATTCGACTGACGGCTGAATGTGTCGACCTGTGCTCGAACTGCCGAATTCGGTCCTGTATGCACCTGGCACAATGATGAGCACCCTGATCCCAAACTGTGCAACTTCCTGACTGCATGACTCGGATGCAGCTTCCAAGGCAGCTTTGCTTGCCGCATAGACGCCGCACGCAAGACCTGGAGCGACGCCCTGCGTGCTGGAGACATTCATGATGACCCCCGATCTTCGTTTTCTCATCCCAGGAAGCACAGCCTGCATGATCCTCAGTGGCCCAAGAAAATTGACTTGCATCTGGAAAACAGAATCGGCATCAGGTATGTCCTCCAAAGCGCCTAGAACACTTATGCCGGCATTGTTGACAAGGATGTCAATGCCACCGAAGAGGGATTCTGCAAATTGTATCGTCTTTTTGATTGCTTCTTCTGACTGTGTCGTATCGAACGTGATCCATTTGCCGCCACTACCTTCAACTTCCGATACCAATTCTGGCGTTTTTGAAGGGTTGCGTGATGAGGCGACAACAAGATGGCCCTTGGCGATAGCGTAGCGAGTCAAAGCAAGACCCAAGCCAGATGACGAGCCGGTGATGAACCAGACTGGTGCCGCTGCTGTGCTAGACATTTTCCACACGAGGAGCACAATGATAGAGCGTCACCATTCAGCAAAGGAGAGAATTCTATTCCACGTTCAGAGTTGAGAGAAGACGTCCACCATTGCAGTTCTTGTACTCTGAAGATTCGAGGACGAGTGACTGAAAGTTTTCGGACATACGAACGGATTTTGCAGGTCAGTCGGCGATTGGCAAGTTGCTGGTACGCTGGTGTTCTCCGACAGGAGAAGATGCTGTGTTCTTGTCAGCTGCATGCCCAATGAGTTCTACGACTTTACATCACAACCGCTGCGAAGCGGATGTTGTCTTTGCTAGATCTGCAAGTGGCTGACTCGACATGAAAAGCTAAAGGTGCCTGAATCAAGTTGAGTCGAGGGGAAAGGGGAAATATCTGGCAATATTCAGGGTCTGCTAGACCCTTTCACACAGGGTGTGAGAGCATTTGTATAGGGATTGTTGAAGCGTTCAATTTTGCATGGGAACGACACTGACACATATACCCTGTAAACCTATGAGGTCTGCGCGGTACAAGGTTTTCAGGAAGATCCGGCAGTGCCTCGGAATGTGATCGGATGCGGAAAACGTGCAGTATTATTTAGCTGCAATGTGATTGGCTCTGCAATTGGGAGCATCGCACGCCACTTGCCCTCGACTTTCAATCCAATCTCAATCACCTTCAACAGCTACTCTCCGCTCCAATCCATCACAATATTTCCGGTCCTGTGCCATAACTGCTGTTCCTGGCAAGCTTCGACGTCGGACATGGCAGCTCTACGCACAGCATCGCGCTTGGTGGCGCCCGCCCGAGCTACCATTCGATCCTCCTACGCTGCGAGATCATACGCCACCGTCACCAAGGACAGTGCGTACGATCTGTCTGCCAGTCGACCGCCAGTTTCTCCCTCCAAGACCAGCACGGTGCAAGAGCCACGACCGGACAAGGATGCAAAGATCAAGACATTCCACATCTACAGATGGAACCCCGACGAGCCAACGTCGAAGCCGAGGATGCAAACATACACTCTGGACTTGAACAAGACTGGGCCTATGATGCTGGATGCGCTGATCCGAATCAAGAATGAGGTAGACCCGACGCTGACCTTCCGTCGAAGCTGTCGAGAGGGTATTTGTGGCAGCTGCGCCATGAACATTGACGGAGTGAACACTCTTGCTTGTCTCTGTAAGATTTGCGACTCATCTCCGTCCATGTGCCTCAAATTGACAATCCTTTACAGGCAGAATTCCCACCGATACAGCGAAGGAGTCCCGGATCTACCCCCTGCCGCATACCTACGTGGTCAAAGACTTGGTTCCTGACCTCACGCAATTCTACAAGCAATACAAATCAATCAAGCCGTTCTTGCAACGAGACACAAAATCACCAGATGTTGGTTCTCTGACTATATGCAGCGAAAGAAAAGACGTTTACTGACACGCTTACAGGGCAAGGAAAACCGACAGTCACCAGCCGACCGCAAGAAGTTGGATGGGCTATATGAATGCATTCTCTGCGCCTGTTGCTCGACCTCATGCCCATCTTATTGGTGGAACAGTGACCAATATCTGGGCCCTGCCATCCTCCTCCAATCTTACCGCTGGCTAGCTGATTCTCGGGACGAACGCAAGGCCGAACGCAAGGAAGCGCTGGACAACAGCATGAGCTTATACCGTTGCCATACAATTTTGAACTGCTCGAGGACTTGCCCTAAGGGGCTCAATCCTGCAAAGGCAATTGCAGAAATCAAGAAGAGCTTGTCTTTTGCTTAGTTTTTGGGTGCGAGGAACCAGAGTTCGGGTTGGGCGTGGAGTACGAGGTACAGTATGTGTTCAGTACGACCCAGGCCTCAAATCACACAATTTGGTCGGTCAGATAGCAAAAATGCTGTATATGTAAATGCAATGCATGATACTTGACGATATGACAATATCAAGGCATTTCACGTTCATACTCATGACACGGAATGGGCAGCCGGAGACCTTCACACAGCGCTGCCAGTATCGTCATCATTATTGGCGGGCACTCTCCTACCTTATCAGGATTGGAAATGCACTAATCTCACTCGGCCGAATGCTTGCATGCGGGCCAGGCAGATATTATTACTATTAAACCCCCATAACAATCGCGCAATTGAGCCCAGGTATTGCGATTCTCCCTCCGGCAGGGCTAAGAGCGTACACATACATATACAATGGAAAGCTCATGCTCAGGTCAAGCTCTCGGCAGCCTACAGCTGTGGCTTGATTCCCTAAGACCTTCCACCACCAGTCGGAGGACGCGTTCGGCGGAATGCGTCCCGACCACGTCGCAGGCAAGACAACAACAGTCCCTTACCGATCGGCCCTTTGATCAGCTACATCCCCTCAACAAGGTTTCGGCTGTGGACGATGGCGACAATGAGACGGTCTTGTATTTGGGATATGGATCCAACTTGAGTGCTGAGACATTCAGAGGAAAAAGAGGCATACGCCCGTTATCACAGGTCAACGTCCTTGTCCCGAGCCTATCCTTGACCTTTGATCTACCGGGAATCCCATATTTCGAGCCGTGCTTTGGCAATGTTCGCTACAGAAATGTCACACCCTACGGAGACGGAGACACCACGACCACGAAGGACTACCACAAAGATCGTTGGAAAAAGGGCATGGTCGGAGTGGTCTACGAAGTGACAAAGTCCGATTTTGTGCACATCATCGCTACAGAAGGTGGTGGCGCAGGATATCAAGATGTGCTTGTTGATTGCTACGCCCTCAATGGAGGCCCAATGGAGGATGTCCCAACCATGCCCTCGGGACAACCTTTTAAGGCGCACACCCTGTTTGCACCCACAAAGACAACTCGACCTGATCCATCCTATGCACAACCAAGCCCAAGATACCTAAAGTTGATCACAGACGGTGCCGAAGAGCATGGATTACCCCTCGAATATCAAGCCTTCCTCCACCAGATCCGTACATTCCACCTCACAACTATAAAGCAGAGGTTGGGCTCCTTCATCTTTCTGAGTGTATGGTCTCCCTTGTTCTTGTTCTTCATGGGTGGGGCTGCTGCGATATTTTTGAGACCAGACGGAACCTATCCAAAGTGGTTTGCAAAGTTCTTGAATGCTATGTTTGCGGCATGTTGGGCGAGTTACGACAACTTCTTCAAGGAAATTTTTGGAGATGGCGAACGGACTATGGGGGACAAGAATGCAGACCGTGAAGGTGACGCTGGCGATGACATTGGTTCTGCTCTGGACGAGAAAGAGCCATTGATTGAACGGACGCAGCATAAATATGGAGCAGTGAGTGTGGTGGAACGAATTGTATGAATGAGTGTATGACAATTTCAAGAGAGATACATGGACGGCTTGGATATACGATTAGAGATGGCTTTGAGTTGCCTTCTGCTTACTTTGAAAGCATTGCAGACGTGTTGAATATTCGGTGAGTTGAACGAGGAGTTTGCGCTCTCTTATATGGGTGGCCATCTACAACGATCCTTTAAACTCTTTCATCTATTCTTCTTGCTTCACTGCGTTCTCAGTCGACGCAGCACTCCTACCACGCTTTCATTGCTTCTGATCCTTCGCCATCTCCCTATAATGGATACACAGTCTCATTTCCAGACCTCATTTTCAGCTCTTGTGAGATATCTCCAGCAAGGATTCCGAGCAGAAGGAGTCGTGAGGCAAGTCTGCGCCACTGAGGACCACAAATTGGAAGACTGATCGGGTTTCTTCTATGCAGTCTACCAGACGAGATCGTCAAGCCGTTCAGGAAACCCTTCAATCCCACCCAAAGCGCCCTCCTTCGCACTCTCCAGAAGCTGTTGGATGATGGCCGACCCAAGAATATCGTCCGTCTTGACTCACAGTCCTTCTACATCGTCGCGTCGGTTATTCTTCACTTCCCTTACTCGGAGACACAGAACAAGCTGCTATATCTTTTCATAGTTGGTACCTCCTTGTGTTTGGCTAAATTGGGCTCATTCAATCAGGAAACCGTCCGACAATACCAAGACGAGAATACATTGGCTGCAGTCTTGTCCCGGATACAAGGGACTGCAGTTTCTCCTGCAAAAATCCAAGAGCATGGCAACTACATCGGGAGGAAGTTGGGGCCTTGCGTACTGCGCCATCTAGTCAGCAGTGACAAAAGACCACAACATCGTTGGAGGGTATTGCATTCCCACAACCTCGACCCCAGTTGCAGTGATATTGCACTAAGCTGACGCTGCACAGCTAGCGCAATTCCTCTCGGTCCTACTGCGCTCCAGCTCGATTGTGACAAACCAGATAATGGATACTGATGAAAGGTATTCAGATGCCCGATATGTATACCTCCACTGACTCGAAGCCAGCCAGTACTTGACATCTATACTCGAAATAGAACAGAACTATTTCCTTCGCATCCTAACAGCCGATGTGCTGCGAGAGCTTCTGTTTAATGGGGCAGAAAGGGAAGCTCTGAAGAAGTCGTCCAACAAACCCAGCATTGTGGATAGCCTTCCCGTCTCAAAGAACGGCGACGCCACGTGGATGAGTAAGGTTGTCGACCACCTTAGTGGAAATGATCTCGCAAGAGCATTTGCTGGACAGTATGAGGTTCGTGGCACGGTTTCCAAGGCTGAGGCTAAAATCCTGCAGGGCCGAGCGTATCTTCAGAGTACAGCGCCTCGAATGTGACGGAAGCGAATACTTTGCAGGCTCTTCACCATTTGTTGCGACGGTGTCAAGCGAGGTTGCCTTTTTAATACCCAACGGCGGGGATATGCTCACATTATTTTCTGTCCCTGTGTCACAGAACATGTCCCTCAATCAGCAGACCCTGGATCCCGAATTATCGACGATCCTTGAAATCCGATATCCCGGGGTTGAAGGGGATCGGTTTATAAATGGAGCCAAAGGCGCCATAAACAGCCTCGCGATAACCTTTGATGACCAGGATGCAGTGAAAACCTTCATTGAGATGGTTGAGGAGCGGCAGTATGAGGATATACGAGACAGCGTGCTAGGTGCGCCAGGAACTCCTCAAAAGCAATCCATTGCCTTTATGGAATTCGATTCAGCTTCAGCAGAGGATAACCGCGGAAAGGGAACAAGATCGAATTCTACTGTGGCCATCGATGCTAATCCTTCTTCCCCTCTTCACAACATTTCATCGCATAAGCGGCACAATCAAGATTCGACAACTACGTCTGCGATGCAGATTCATGCCTCCACGGTTCAGCTTGCCGAAAGATCAAGCAATAGATTGTCTAAGCGTGCATCGGGACCGAAGCTCTCCCTAGAGGACGAGCCCTTGATCGGACTGCCACATACTTCTCAGAGTAGCCCAAAGCGTGTGCGGTCAAGGGCTAGGATGACCTCAGGACGGGTGCAGCTGGGTCGCAGAAATACGGAAGTGGATGTTGCGGAAGGTGCTATTGAGAAAGAACCAGCATCCCAATCGCCTTCAGATGCAGAAAGTATCATCGTAGTTGACTTTGCCCGCAAAACACCCAGACCAGAGCTCGCTATGGCCAAAGTGGTAGTTTCCCAGCCTGATGCACAAAGCGATTCTCAAGCTGAAGGAGGAACAGCCAAAGTGGGCCTCAAGCGGAGGACAGTCAAAGACGTTACAGCTCTTCAGAACGAACAGATGCAGAAACCACTCAAATCCACATTAGAGGCAGCTGACTTTGACCTCCCACCTTCCAGTGATGAGGAAATTCGTCCCATAAAGAAGGCAAAGACGAAAACTTCTATGACCCCGACCAAGTCATCTCTGAAGGAACCCAAAAGCACGAAAAAGGGGAAACGACACAAGAAAAAGCAGATCGAGAAGATGATCAGGCCGGCGGGTGAAAAGTCCCAGAGGACGGCCGCCTCAACGAGGTCCAGGCGGGCTGCCAAAAAAACACCAACGTATGTTGAGAGACCAGATGAGAGCAATGAGGATATCACAAAGGAAGATATCGAAGAAAGAGAGAGGGAGAAGCATGAAACGCATGACAAAGCAGCGGAGGTTGTTCGAGGCTCCCTTCCCCTCAGCAAAGGGGCAACAAAGAAGGGTCTGAAAGCTTCCCAACGCGGTTTTGCATCGAACATGCAAGAGATCCTTGACGGAGACAGCACCAATGGGGAGGATGGACTAGCACGACGCCCTCTGGCATGCTACACTCCAGACGACCAACTCACACCAATGCACGGCTCCGTTGCCCGGCAGACCAGCCCTGAACAGGCTGTAGCGAGCAACGAGAAGCACACATCAAAACATTCGGGCGAAAATGCCGTCTCTAAAACTATTGCTGGTTCAAAGGGTGATGATCAGCAGAAATCTACTTACCAAGGCGACTCCAAGCGACCGAGTGAGAGTTCGATACCTCCAGTGAGCGAAAAGCTACTGCGAAAGACTAGAATCGTACACTTTGGACCTCAAGGCCCTGGTAATCAGGCCGTTCCAATCAAGTCTCCAGTGACGCTTAGCGATTGCGAATCGACAAAGGAGCTCAGTCCAGCCCCCAAACGTGTAAGGGTTTGGCAAGATGAACGTGTGGAAGACATCGACGAACTTGCTCCGGACCACTGCGACGAGTCTTCACCGAGCCCGCCAGAAATCGAGGAAACTCGGAATCTATTTGCACACGATGGGGGTGATATACCGAAGGAGCCTGGTAGACGCCAAGGGCTGGATGTTTATGCACATGCTGACAACATGGGCGAGCAAATCGTCTCAGCTTCTGATGAACAGACGAGTATCATCAATGAACCAGAAACTTCCAGGCATGTTATCTCCAGAACTGAGAACACGGCCAGTGGGAACGCCCCCCGGTTTTCTAGCCCTCCTCGCTCGCACAAGACCGATATACCCCAAACCAGACTACAAAGACCGTTCCTTGCTGATGATGCGTCTCATTATGACGCTTCTAGAGCCAAAGGAACGCAGATCACTGGAGAGTCGATAACCCAGTCCATAAAGACCAAATCCGCCTCGGATCAGGTATATACGCAAACCAGAAAACCCGTTGGAAACAGCAAGAATCATGCAGGTCATCAAACACCCGCAACGAAAGAATCCAGCACACGGAGTGCTGTATCCCATGCGCTCCTTTCAACTTCTCATGAAATCATACAATTTCAGAATCCAGAGCCGACTCGAGAGTTGGACAACACGGGGCTGTCCCGCAGAGTCAATGCTGCACCCAAAACTCACTGTGATATTGTGTCATTAACGCAGGACAATCCAGTGGCGGGCTCGCAGGGCACGCGTGAGTCTTGCACGTTACTCCCGCATATTGCAGCCGATTCAATGGCTCCGCCTCCACCACCAGCCGACTCGGTCAGGCAGCCCAGTTCTCTTCGCAGAATACGACCCGCAGCACAGGCTAGGCAAACAGCTCTACCTTTGAAAGCAATGAGTCAGCCCGTCATTACGGGGCCTATCAGGGTGAAAAAGAGCATGAGCCTGCCTTTCGTTATTGAGCCTGAGCTTGAGCCCGAATTACCTCCAGCAACGCCAGACTCGTTCTCCACGCGTCTTCACCTGCATGACCGCTTTTCAATTAATGAAGTGCCAGACAATGGAGGCCCGAAAACGATAGGAGTAGACACGTGGCAGAACGTTGATAATGACAGCTTGACTATTGTAAATGGAGACGAAACAGTCTATGGAGACTGTCTAGGCCGTGGGCTCAAGCGAGGGCAGAGACAACAATCTAACTCGGAACATGATGGCTCGATGACTGCGTCTCCTTCCAACGAACCTGGAGGAGACTCCAGACGAGGCGACTCGATAATGGCATTTCCATCTGCCCGTGAGTCTCAACGGGGTATGCTTGATGCCATCATCAACATAACTAATGTAAGCCAATCCCTTGTACCCCTTGGCATGACTGATACGTGCCCAGGATGTCCTATTCCGATTCGGCGCAGAAGAAGACGCCATTAGATCGAAGGTCAGCGAATACGATCGTGGAGGGGGAGTAATTATCCAGACTTTAACAGACACGTGGACTCAACGTCTGGAACACGAGCGACACCTCCTCGAGGATATCTTGAAGGAGGAGAAAGAGGTTCTGACAACGGCGCTGCAACTTGTACAATGTACGGACCAGTTGGGTGGAAACTGGAGAGAGACCATTTATAATCGGGGGTTGACAAGGCAAGTACAGGACAAAGGCGAGGGCGTTGCACGGAAGATCGAGAACCTGAAGAATAGAGGCTGAGCAATATTGAGCAAAAGTGGAGGTCATATGGCCGTATTCCTGGAGGGAAGAAGTAGCTTTCTGTATTTTGATAGACTCGGCTTTTTCCGACCATGGACTGATACATGGACAAGGTATAGTCTAATGTATGTTAATTGAAGAGCAGTATTTCGCCAGACACAACGCGAGCTTTTTATATCAAAGAGGACCACTCTCTTGGTCACTGATTCAGAAATGCCGTCCCGTAGCCGCCTGGGCGAGAAGATCCTTGGGCATTTCGATCGTCTCCTCGGTACAATTTCCGTCCTTGTCGACCACGACGCCGTGATTCTTCTCAATCACCTTCCACTCCCCAATCTTGTACGTCGTGGGCTCACTGGCCACAATGACGTGCTTGCCGTGGTCCTCGGGCTTGAGGGTGGCGTTGGGGTTCTTTGCGCCCGAGGCGTTGTCCGGGTACTTCCTGTTGAGGGTGACACCCGCGGTGGTGCTGTAGTACAGGCTGGGCGGGTTCTCGACGGCGTGGTTGCGCAGACGCACGGCGATCAGCTGCTCGCCGTCGGTGCAGCACACGTTCATGGAACACGCCTGGACGTTCTCGGCACCCAGCGTCTCCTGTTGCAGGCGGATGATGGCGTGGAAGGCCTCGACCAGCGCGCGCAGCATTTCTTGCGGCGTGTACTGCCGCTCCCAGCTCTGCGGGCCGCCGCCGGCCGACCGGGTCAGGTTGGTCATGTACAAGGCCGCGAGGTGCTCCGAGTCGGTAGTGCCGTGGATGTTTTCGTACGCCGACTTCTCCAGCAGCGCGAGCAGCGGCCGGTGGATGTCGGTGAAGTGCGAGATCAGGCCGTTGTGCATGATGGTGTGCCGCCCAAACACGAAGGGGTGGTTGTTGATCGCCGCCACCGAGGCGCCCGTTGCGGCGCGGATGTGCGCGAACGCGGCCGTCGTGGACGTGCCGGCGCAGATGCTGTGGAAGTTTGCATCGTTGTTCGGCGGTTGCGCGTTCTTGTACGTGGCCGGCCGGATGCCTTCGACGCTGTTGATGAACGAGGAGCGTACGGGCGTGTACCATACCAAGCCGAAGCCGTCGACGTTGTTGAGGCGGTTGCGCAAGGTGATCTCGAGCTTGGACGTCTGCTCGCCAGGGGCGTGCGAGAAGAGCTTTGGCAAGTAGTGGTCATGGACCTGTTTGGCAATGCCGTGCTCAGGGGTGATGAGCACGTCCTCCAGGAGGCACTCTTCATCAGGCGAGATGTAGGCGAACCACCGACACATGTTGTATCTATACCCTGTTGTTCCCTTGCCTTGAATCCCACCGAATAAGGTATCTCTTTCTTTTTATACCGTTTTTCCTTCTCTGTACCAGGCCCGCTAGTTGACTGTGAAGAGATCAGTTTCTATCCGAACAACGTTCTCATATAGATAAGAAAACGAATGGCCGGATTTGTATGAATGTTATTTCCGTCGAGATACGGTGGTCAAACTAGAGCACGGTAGATATCTCAGGCAGAGCGGAGAGGAGGCAACATGACAACAAGATTCCAGCTACTTATGTATAAGCGACGGGCTACGCCGAAGGCGTTTGGATAAAACAAAAAGGAGGAAAAAGGAGTCTGAGAAAGGGGCTCGAAGGAATGGAGGGAAGCACTTTGAAGTATGTTTACGTGACTGGGACATGGAAACATCAGCGTTCACGACGCCAAATGCTCCCACATTCCTCGAGGGGAGGTCCCCAGGGTGCCGTAGCCATTTTCAAACTTGGAAGTAGATGCAAGTATCTCTCCAAAGATGCTGTATACTCATACGCGATCTCAGAGCCACGTAATCGTTCAATCAGCTGTGCAGGGATTTCGGGAAAAGGGTAGAAGAGGTTGTTACGTCACCGCACCCCAGATTGGTTTAGCATAATATCTAAGCTTTAGCCAAGCACTGTCGCGTGCTAGCGTGTTTAATATCCACGCTATCATCCTAAGCAGAGCTTGGCAATTTACTTCTACGGGGTACAGATATTGCCAAGGCATGTGTTTACTTGTACCTGGACTTTCACTTTGATTTCACCTTTCTCTCCTTCTCACAATTTCTCATCGTTACATTCCTCCTTATCCCCTCTTTACCCTGCGACCCGCGATAGAACGGTACCGAAGGTGTATTGCGTCTCGACCGTGGCGATGGATACCACAGAACTTCTCTCAACTCAGAGGCCAGAGCAGCTCCCGACCAAATACTACAATTTGATGCCCGGAAGATTTTGAAAATCCTTCTAGTTCTGATTGAACTCTGCCAGCAATTTGAGGTGAATCGTCTCTTCCAAGCCAAGGGTCAAAGCGACCGAATGCAAACCTAACAAATCCCTCAAGTTGCTGGTGAGAGATTCAAACCATCGCCCTACTGCCCAAGGAAATACCATTGCTTGCATCGAAGCCAGGACGGCCGAGCGGAACGGGGAAAAAAAGGCCTGCAGAGCCCCAAACGCCGTTGCGAGCCCAAAACGGGATGACACAACCCCTCGAGAAGACCAACAGTGTCCCAAACGAGCTGTCTACCCAAGTAGCACTACCAAATTGTCTAGATAAAAGACGACAAGTGTCTTGATTCCACCATTGGAGATCTTACCAAGGAATCCATGGTACTGTGCGGCCAAAAAGCGGCCAAAAGCACTTGCCACCAAAAGGGAGCCAAGCCAGTGTGGATGTTGAAATACACAATTCTCATGCCAGAGTATCAAAATGGCTGGGCGCAGAGATTTGAAGCACCTCAACACTGGCCGGCAACTTATTATGCCGTGCGTCTGCGTGGAAACCATTTTCGCAAGATCTAAATTCCCCGTCTGACAGCAACATGTTGCGCCACTCCCATTGCACCGCCTCTTAGCGCGTGTCTGGCCTTCCTGGTGAATCCCATATGGGGACCAGAGAAAATTCCCTGTTCCAATGGACTTCGAAAACCGGTCAAAGGCACCAGGATCGAGTCCAAGAGGACTAATCCATGAGGAGATGAGATCAGGCGTTTCGTCTACCTGAATGGCCACCAGCATATATGAGGTGAACCGTCCCACTCAAAGCCAAGAGCCAAAGCGGCCGAATGCAAAACAAACAAATCCCTCATATTGTTGGTGAGTAAAAGCATCTCTTACCATTCCCGTACGGCCCAAATGCATTTATGTTGCGAAGATCGAGTTCGTCATCTGCGAATTGCTGTCCGACAGGAACCCAGCCAACTGGAACTGTCACAAGCCAACAACATGGTCTCCGCGAGTAGCGGCAGTGACAGTTCTCTTAAAGCTTGTGAGTTACGCAGCTGCGTGCTGGCGAATTGACGTTGGGTGTGCTCCCCCAAAGACAGCGTTTCTCTTGTGTCAGAAATTCCTAGAGCAATTCTAAATGGGCAAGCATAATGCTTCTACTGCGCAACAAGCACGAAACTGCCTCTGTCTCCACATCGGTCCGAATATCATGGACGAAAGACTGTACCGCGGACAGCAAGATCAGCTATCCCTGGAAGCAACACCTGCTGTGGATCCAGATCGCATAGCACATCACAAATAGCCCCAACGCGGCTCACGGCAGATATTCATTGATATCTCTGAAGATCCATGCTGCGTTCCCATTTTGCTAACTTTCCATCATAGGCATATATCCACGCTGTCATAGCTATGTACTGTCCCGCGACATATTACCAGGCAGTCTTGTGCGGTCAACTTCGTCGCCTTTGGATCAGTGAGCAGGTCCCATCGCTACCGAGGTCGAAATACTTAACCAACTCAAATAGAATCAGAAGCTCATACATATTCACCGCCTTCGAGTATCCATCGTCAGCTCATCGCCTGCTAAAGTGCAAGACAAATAACGTGAGGTGGTTTGGTACATCGGCAAGAGGGATCAAACACGATGTACGTTTGCTGCCTCCTGACCAGAAAAAAGAACCCTGATTTCCAACGATACAGAAACATCCCGCCGACCGAGAATACAAAATGCAAATGAGCGTGGCCTAAGACATCGGGCCAAAAACACCTAGCATGTCTAGTCGGATTATGTGGAGCATGCGACAGTTGCAAAAGAGAGGATGGGCATATTGCGAAGTATTGAGACTCCGAAAGGGCAAAGACAACAAACCCACCAGCCGGAACAACCACACCGCGCTCACCCTTCTAGCGGAATACTACGACATAAAAGGAACGCATCCGACCACTCAAGGAATTGCAAGAAAGTGTGAAAGAGGAGGAGTCATAGCAAAGCCACATCAGACTTTACTCGGTGTTCTGTTGATTTCGAGATGGGTGCAAGGACGAGGAGAAGAACATTGCGGCGGTGGTAGCGCTGTGATGGTCGGAAACTCCAGCAGAGCAATTGGTTGGGCAGATATGACAAGGAGAATTTGGCAAAGCCACGGGATGGACAGGTATCCCAGCACATTTGCAGGCAGCACTCGGCGAAGTAGTGAGAGGCAACGTCCAATACGTTCATGGGCGGAGGGTCTCGCATATTTGCAGGGTTTGGACATACGTCGAAGGTACAGGAGAGGGGGCCATCAAGCGCTGCGAACAGCCGATGCAGATATCAATCTACGCAGAAGAGGAAGGGAGGGGGTCCAAGAGGTTCAGCTGTTGACGTTGGTATGCATGTCTTCGAGGCGGGGGAGAAATAGCACAGAATCTATCCTAGGACTCCTGGTTGATAAGTGGTAGGAGCATGCCAACCTACCAGCCTCTCCACCGAACTCTTTTCTCACGCTGCTCCACGCGGATTCCTGTACAAGTAAAGAGGACGAGAACTGTCTATTCATCCGCGAGTTCTGATTGCCTTGTTTGTACGTCACGAACCCCGATCCCACACATCCTCCCTCTCTGCCGCGTCGTACAAGTTCTTGGACCAGAGGGCCAGGGACATCAAGCTCAACGATCCTCCCGCCCTCCATGACAGCGTCTTGATTGCTCTGGCAGACAGTAAAGGCGTCGACGCAGAGCACCCGCTAGCGTAGTGAGAGCAAGTACAAGCCACCTCCGTTGCTGGAGACATTGTGGGACATCATCAGAAATCGCGCTGCGGCAATGGTCGTGCTCGAGAAGAAGAACAGTTCCCGTCTTCTTGGAATTGAAGGAAGGTCTAGTCACGCTGAGGAATCCTCTTCTCTATGCGGGAATCAATGTTGGAATAATAGTGCTGCAAATACCAGTCCGCCCAGTCCGCTGGGTGCAAGTAAACATGGGGCAGCCAAGGCTTTTTTCCAAGGAGACTTTGCGAGCCACTTCACCATCTCCCCAACGAGCCACATGACACCTGTGCAACTTGTATAATAGACCGTTTCATAGTCTTCTTGGATTTTTATAATGTATATCTAGGCACGTCGATCCTGCTGACAACCCCGTCATCCCTCCTGTCACCTCCGTACGTCTTCCACGAACCACATGAACAGACTCGGCCGGTTCGATTCTCACCCCAATGTCCTTCCAGGTGCCCCAGAATGTTCCTACGTTCAGCAGCACTCAACGCACGCATGAGGACACATACTGGCGGCAGAAACAAACTAGTAATGGCCATGCAAGAGGAGGACCCGCTAGTGGAATCACATCCAAGATTAACGACATCTTCGGCGAAGACAGGGGCCTGCCCATGTACAAAGACAAACCTCATTTTCCCTCAAGTCGGCGGAGAGGACAGGGTTTCTTTCGACAGAAAAGAGTGCTGGCATTGATTGGTTCCGCGTCACTACTGTTTCTCTGGTGGGTGGGATGGTTACCATGGAGCTCCCGCCAGTACTACGATCCAGCTGACCACCAACATTCTTTCTTCCACGCCGAAGACTGGTCAGAACAGAGGGAGGCCGTTAAAGAGGTATTCAAGACATCTTGGGACGGTTATGAGAAATATGCTTGGGGCATGGACGAATACCACCCTCTTTCGAGGAAGGGAAAGAACATGGTTGAAGGTGGCATGGGTTGGATTATTGTGGACGCATTGGATACGGCCATGATGATGAATTTGACCTCGCATGTCGCTAAAGCAAGAGAATGGATATCTACGTCGCTTTCTTACACTGCCGATCACGAAGTCAACACCTTTGAGACGACTATCCGCATGCTCGGCGGTTTACTATCAGCATACTACCTATCAACGACTTTCCCACATCTCGCACCACAGCGGGACGACGACGTAAATCAACCCGGAGAGGACCTATACATCGAGAAAGCGACGGATCTTGCCGACCGTCTCCTCGGGGCCTACGATTCACCTTCAGGGATCCCATATGCGTCTGTGAACCTAAACACCAGCCAGGGAGTTGGTTCGCACGTGGATGGAGGGGCCTCCTCTACTGCGGAGGCGGCGACTCTACAACTAGAGATGAAATACCTTGCAAAAATAACGGGAGAGCCGATCTACTGGACGAAGGCCGAGCACGTTATTGAAGTCATCGAATCCCAAAAACGCGAAGATGGTCTCTTACCAATCTACATATACCCTGCCACGGGCGAATTCCGGGGCGTGAATATACGGCTGGGATCCCGCGGCGACAGCTATTACGAATATTTGATTAAACAGTACCTTCAAACGGGTAGCGTGGAGGCGGTATACTTGGATATGTGGGAAGAGGCACTCGAGGGTGTCAAGAAACACTTGATCACTTATTCCGAACACGCATCCTTGACCATCCTGGCCGAAAGGCAAAGTGGACTCAACGCCCCTCTGACAGCCAAGATGGATCATCTAGCATGCTTCATGCCTGGTACCATAGCCCTAGCAGTGACCGAAGGACAGACGGTTGAGCAAGCGAAGGCCAGACTGGGGAGCAAGTGGACAAAGAAACATGACGAGAACCTCAAGCTCGCAGAGGAATTGATGAAGACGTGCTGGGGCATGTACAAGGTCACTCCGACTGGCCTCGCCCCCGAGATCTGCTATTTCCATACCGACAATCCCGCTCCGCAATGGCATGTTGACTCGGCGTGGAGACCGCCACATGCTGCCGAGCTCTCCGACGATGCCGATGCCGACTGGCGCCATGACTACGATATTCACACAAACGATGTGCACAATCTTCAACGACCCGAGACCATCGAATCCCTCTTCTACATGTACCGCATTACCAAGGACAGGAAATACCGGCAATGGGGGTGGGAAATGTTTGAAGCCTTCCGCGAGCACACCAAAGTCATCGATGAATTGACAGGCCAGGTTTATGCCTACACCTCCCTGGACACTGTGGTGGAAAATCCTGTCAAAGAGAGGAAACGGCGCGATAACATGGAAAGTTTCTGGTTGGCCGAGACCCTGAAATATTTCTATCTGCTCTTCTCGGATGACGACTTCTTTCCTCTCGAAAGCGTTGTTTTCAACACGGAAGCTCATCCATTCCCGAAGTTTGACATATCAGGAAGCAAGGTCTTTACAACAGGCTGGCGCAGGACCAAAGGCTTGACTCCTGAGCGTAAGTCTGACGGCAGTGTGGTCGAAGATGACTCTGATCAGCTCAAAAATATACGTGTTGGAAGTGGTGTACGCTTTGACGACAATGGAAACAGCATCCCGGTCCCCGCGGAGATTGGGGAGCAACAGGTCCCGGCTGCTGTTGGCGAAAATGAGCACGATTTCTCTCAGGGCCTACCAGTTCGCGCGCTTTCAGATGGCACGGTGTCGCTTGAAAATGGCGAGGATATCGCCAAACAGGGAGGCGATTAAGGTGAACTCTGGAGAAGACTTGATCACTGTGTCTTTGAGCTGGGAGATCGGGACCATCTCCTGCTTGAACAGGATACTTTCTGGCCAGAGGTTTTCGCTGGTCCGCATACTTTGATACTCGAGAGCGCTGTACCAAAATCTGGTTGTGTTTGCATGGAAGCAATGCTGCGTGTGCAATCGTGCTGTTGGACGATTGGGCCAGGGTGGTTGGATCACAACAAACAGGAGCATTGCAGGTTGGTTTTCATTTTGGGACAAAAGCGAGCCAAGGGATAGAAGGCGTTTGGAAAGAAGAATCCCGAACGAATCATGTTCTCCGGGCATTGGCGGAGATTTGAAGTAACCATTGTTCATGCTTTCTCTTTCTGCTGGGTGTTTTGGTAGAGTGTTTGTGGATCGCCATGATTTCGCCATACGCAAGTAAAGGCCATCGCGCCCGTTGTAGAGGCTCCGTCTGCTATAGTATGCGTATGATTCAAGGACTCGACCACCGCGAAGGATCCGTCCAGTACCGTCCTTTCCCTGCATCAGACACACACAGTGCGTGGCCCTCTAAACTCAGTACTTGGATGAAGTCTTTGACTTGGCCTGGCTTGCACGGAGACAGAAGGACCGCATTCGCGACCCACGAAGCCCATGGATTCGTTTCACTCGCTCGCCTCCAATGAGACGATTCAGTGTATCCTCGAACCGTGGCTTTTCGACCGACCCTGTGCCCTTCTAGCGCTCGGCATAAATTATGTAGTGTCGTCCCTATGTTTCTCAGCCCAGGTTTGTGGAAAGGTGATTATGGCGCCTCTGGAAACATCGCCTTGGGGTGGTGATGGGTTATCGTCAAAGTCGTATTTCGTCAAGGGGTGGTTTTCGTTCATTCGTTTTACTCCTGTGCGCAAGTCTGTCCTGCTTGGTTCCTTCCTTCATTTCGTTTCTTTTGATGATAAGAGGCCCGTGGTCATGGTAGATGATTGGGTGGTGGCAAGTCTCTGACCATGGTTTTTAAAACTTGGGCCCTCTCCTCCGGGCGGTATACTTCGAATCCGTCTTGACCACTTTGCCTTTATTCCTCATCTTCTCCTTTTTCTTCATCACCCACGCCTTACTGCCCTTGACGTCGTCCGGGGCCCCGCGTCGGCCTCCGCCACCCTTGTGCGCCGCCGACATCTTGGCCTCCCGGATCCGCCTACCGTCCTCGATGTCGACGTTGTCCATGTTCCTGACGCGGTCGGTGATGTCGCCCCCGCCGACGCTGAGGACGAGGTACGTCTTGACGTTTTTGGTGCCGCCGTCGTCCTCGAGAATGCCGGCCCCGAACCCCGCACGCACGGCGGCCTGGGAGATCATGGCCCGCTGCGCGTCGTTCTTCGGGTAGAACTGCAGGACGCCGCGGCCGCCGCGGCGCAGCGACGCGTAGAGCCCGTCGAAGAACCGCCGTAGCCGGCCCTCGGGCGACACGCCGCTCGTCTCCGCGTTGCACAGCCACTGCACCGCGGAGATGCTGATGGCGGCGTCAAACGTGCCCGCGCGGAAGGGGACGCCCTGGCCCATGTCCGCCAGAAACAGATCCCCTTCCACATCCTCCCTCTGCAGCGCAATGTCCAGCATGCTGGGCGATATGTCCATGCCCACCCAAATGTGCCCTTCTTCTGACAAGATCTCGCCCGACAGGCCCGACCCGCAGCCAACGTCGAGGATGAACGAGGGAGAATCGAGGTCGAGGAGCTCCAGTGCGCGATGCGTCATGGAGGCCTGGATCGACTGGATGCGCGACGACGTCGTGTACTTGGCCGAGGCCGTGTCGTTGTAGTACAGGTCCGGCGGGAGGAGGTCTTCGGGGCGAGACATGGTTGCGATACCTTTTTTTTTTTTTTGGCGGTGACGCGAGAGAAAAATGTTCCCTCCTTGGGGACGTTTTCTGTATTTTTTGTCCAAAAAGTGCCACAGGCACAAAACGGGCGTGGTCTGTCAAGTGTGATGCATGTTGTGCAATGCAGGGTGGTCGTTGGGTGGGAAGCGCACGAAAATTAAAATTTCTGGTGGAGAAACCGTGCTGGGTCAATTATTGTTCAAATCGACTCCGCAGCAGCAAGTGGTGGATGATGTGCGCACAATGGCGCCAGTCTGGGATTATTTCTGTGTGTGGGGGGGGGGGGGGGGGCTTCAGCCTCGTCAAGCGGCGACCCCATCCACAGCCTTGTTATACACCGAGAGAGACCACTCGGGGCACATGCAACTTTCCTAGGTACTTCTCACAAACTGCTAACTGAAGCCCCGCGTGCTGGCCTACAATTATACGAGGTCGAATTGTGTCTGTTCGGGCTAGGCGGTTAACACACCCAAACCGTATTGTTTGAACTATCCGCAACGTACATAGCCGTCGATAGAGTGATGGTCGATGCCTTGAGATATAACTCGGATCGAATACAGCGTGTTATTTGTATATGTTATCTCTCTCACTCCTCTGGCGCCGTCATCCTACCGCTACCAAAATCTAGGGTTTCTAGAGTGGAGTTTTCACTCTTTTTCCATCTGCTCTCGGCGGTTGTACCGCGGTCATTCGGAGGTCTGTCGAAGTACCGAGTACGCGTATATCTCAATAACACCAGCAATCGGTGGTCGTCTACGCTTCAAGAACAGCACAGTATCATGATAAAACGAACCTGTACCTCCTCCGGCATTTCAGGCCATTCAATTTGGGGTTTGCCGCCTGATAGGGTCGACTTAAAAAGATCAAGAGCATTTCGGGAGAGAAACCGACTTCAGCTGATCAGTTTCGTCCATTGTATGTACGTTACGTATGTTATGTACATAAATTGTCATTCTTTTGCTTTTTTCTTGTTTCTTCTATCGCTGCTGAACACAACTGACTGAATCTGGCGAAAATTGCCCAAATGCGCTGTTGCGCCCACTTCCCAAACTTTTCCCCCAGAAAACTTCCCCCAGTCGATGGGCAACACCAGGGTGAGTTATCAAAACGAGTGTGACTGGGCGGGAGCGAGAGATTTTCGGTTCCACACGGGGAACAAAGCCCATGATTCATACCGAGCCCCTTTGCGCAAAGAAAGGGCGAGTAAAAGTTTTGCATATATATATATGTATAATCCAATAGTTGAGGCCGGAGACTTTGTGCATTTTAATCCTTGGTGTTGCGGTCCGAGTCGGCCACGACGGCGTCGACGACGTCCTTGTTGAGACCTTTCCAGTTGGCCTTGCCCCATAGGAACCAGAGAGCCACTGCGACGAGCTGGACAAAGGCGTTGATGGGGAGGGCGTAGTTCATGTCGGAGCCGTTGATGGGGAGGAAGGACGGGAAGCACAGGAAGACCATGATGTAGGCTGAGTAGATGACCGCAAAGATGTTGATGTAAATGCCCCAGCGTCCCAGAGACCATCCAGGGGGCTCGACCCTCCCTCTGTACCGTGCCCAGATCATGCAAGCAATGGCCATGAGGTATGATTGGTACAGGCCGAGAGTTGAGAGCGCCACGATGACGTTGAATGCGACGCTGCTGCCGACGTTGAGGAGCGCCAGCAACATGACGATAAAGACCGGCAGCCAGACCGAGCGAACGGGGATGCGGTGCTTCGGGTCGATGTACGAGAAGTAGGCGGGGAGTGCTCCATCTCGAGACCAGGCCCAAGTCAATCGAGATGCAGACGCAATACTGCCGAGACAGCAAGCCAGAGTCACGATCATCGATAGGCCCACCATTGCCGAGCCCGCCCTTGTGGATTGAGTCGCATTGATGCAGATGAGCAATAGGGGATATCCCGAGGAGAGCAGGTCGTTGACGTCTCCAGCACAGAACAGGAAGACAAGCACCATCCCGTACGCAAGCGCCCCGTTCATGACAATACTCCAGAACATGGCTCTCGGTACTGCGTGTCGCGCCTTTCGCACTTCTTCAGACATATGGACTGCTCCATCAAAACCTGTAGTCACTCAATCAGCGTCCGGAAACTGGCACATCTCGTCCTGCGTGTGCTACATGTAACTTACCTACGAAACCCCAGGTGGCGGTAAGCATCCCAAGGTTGAACGAGATGTACTCGTTGTTCCACCCAGAAAGAGCCGACTTCTCCAAGAAGACAAAGTCTGCCGTGTGGCGAGGAGCGAGTGTGACCAACACCGAAACGAAGACCACCCACATGATGATGTGCAGCAGACCGGAGAGCAACTCGATCCAGGGAATTGTCCAAAAAGCGTACTGATTCATCAATCCCTGGACAAGAAGCAGGGCGTAGATGATCAGGGTCACATGCCATCCGTGTGGAATGTATGTTGGATAGTTGGCAATGACAAGTGCCTGAATCATGAGGGCAGCGATGTTCGCCACGCCGGCCAAAAGCGAGATCCACGAGAACCAGGTGATCCAGCCTTGCATCCAGGTGATGAATCGTCTGTGAGATGGAGGCGCGAGGTAGTGAGTCCAATGGTACTGCGCGCCTGCGATTGGCTGTACCGAAGCCATCTCAGCCATGGATGCGACCTGGCACAGCACACCTGAGATGACGACGAAATAGCCAAAGGAGACGGATCGAGGACCGCCATTCCAGAAGAAGTATGCAATGTTTCTATCTGAGATCAGCTTGTATCCAGAAAGTGAAGGGGAAGATGTTAATCATACGACGCAATGGCCTCCCAGGACGACATATAACTGAGGGCGAAGAAGAAAATCTGAGCGAAGCTGAAAATTCTCTGCGAATGGTTTTAGCCTTGCGCAATCAGTCTTTGTGAGTGAAGGGAAACCTACTCGGACTCTCGTCGACGTGTTTCTAGTCCCGTCAGTCCTTTGGCCGCGATACTGCGTTGAAAACTCTCTCTTCTCATCTTCAATGTTGACTTGAGGCCCTTTGACCGGGCTCATCTCGTGGGACTCCATCTTGGATGCAGATAGCTACCGAAATGTCCTACAAGGCGAGAGGAAGAAGCAGTGGAAGATGAAGGATGAGAGGTAGAGAAATGGAAGGAATGACAGATTCAATGACCTGCAGGATATGGC